GAAACCCAAGGAAGGGTCACTATGAGTTGGATCCAACTCCATGGCACTGTGTTTTTGTTTTTGTTGTTATTATGTACTTGATTCTAGCTCATAGTGACCCTATAGGACATATTAGAACTGTCCCATAGTGTTTCCTAGGCTGTAATCTTTATGGGGTTGGACTGCCACATCTTTGATCCAAGGAACTGGTAGGTAATGAACCCCGATCTTTCTGTTTAGCAGCAGAGCACTTAACCACTGTGCCACCAGGGCTTCTATACAGAAGGATGTATAGTAAAAATTTTTTTGCTTAACCTAGTAACTGTCAGATAACCACTGCATTAGTTTCTTGTATATCCTTAGAGCTGTGTTCTCCAAGTGTATTATACACAGATATAAAAAGTATAAACCTATGTTGTTTCTGACACCAGTATATTAAAAGGTTTCTTTTTTACCCCTCTTGTTTTCATTTTGTATGGCTACTTATTTTACTATTTTATTGGTGTCCCACAATTTACTTAACTGTTTTCCCCTTTCCTAGCCTCTGGCAGGCAGTTAGCTACTTTCTGATCCTTGGGATTGGCTTCTTCTGGGCATTTCATGAATCATGCAAGACTGGCATTCTGTGAGTGGCTTCTTCACTTAGCTTTATGTTTTAAAGGTTCATCCTTGTTGCAGCATATATCAGTACTTCATTCTTTTTTATGACAATATAGTATTCCATATAATTTTTTTTATTGTTGTCGAGAATACACAGCAAAACGTACACCAACCAATTCAACAATTTCTACGTGTACAATTAAGTGACGCTGATTCTTTGAGTTGTGAAACCATTTTCACCCTTTTCTGAGTTGTTCTTCCCTCATTAATATAAACTCTCTGCTCACTAAGGTTCCTATCTAATCTTTGGAGTTGCTGTTGTCAATTAGGGAGTTCTGGTGGCATAGTGCCTAAGGCATTTGACTGCTAACCAGAAGGCTGGCGGTTCAAACCCACCAGCTACTCCTCAGAAGGAAGATTGGGCAATCTACTTCTATAGTGATACCACCTTGGAAACCCAAGGAGGGTTCGCTATGAGTAGGATCTGACTCGACGGTAGTGAGAGTTTTTGAGTTTTAATTGTCAATTTAATCTTATATAGACAGTTCTGAAAAGAGCACAGTGCTCAAGGCAGACCTTTTTTCCTAGTTAAGCTAAACTATGGTTTGCTTTTAAGAAGACTTTAGGGAATATTTTTGATTTAAGGTTTAAAGATTATCGCAGGGCAGTAGTTTCAGGGGTTCAGCCATCCTCCATGGCTCCAGAAAGTCTGCAGTCCATAAGAATTTGAAATTCTGTTCTGCATTTTCCCCTTTTGATCAAGACTTTTTCATGGAATTTCTGATCATAGTATTCAATAATGGTAGCCAGGCACCAGCCCATCCTGGTCTCGTGGCAAAGGAAGCAGTTGTTCATGGAGACAACCACACATTCCATTTCCTCCTACTGTCCCTCACTTTCCTTCTTCCTTGGTTACTCCAGGTGAATAGAGACCAATTGTTGTGCCATTGAAGGTGCTTGCAAGTCTTTAAGACCTCAGGCACAAGATGCAACTAGGAGATAGAAAAAAAGCACTAATCATGTTATTAGGCCAATTAACTGGAATGTCCCCTGAAACCATGACCCATGACCTCCAAACCAAGGAACCAAACCCTGTGAGGTGTTTGGTTGTACATAAGCAGCCTCAGCAGCTACTTTTTTTTTTTTTTTTTTTGTCATTGTAACTATACCTGTCACTCAACTTTTGCCAATTTAACTTTCTATGAATGTACAGCTTATTGACAGCAATCACATTAATTGGTTGTATAGTCCCATCCTTAATTAATATGATTTTTCCATCACCATCAACCAACACTCAGTACTCCATAAACTGTAACTCCCCTTTTCCCTTCCCAACCCTGGTAACCATTTATAATCTTTGATCTCTATCCATTTGCCTATTCTTGTCCTTTTATTTGAGTGAGGCTATATAGTAGTTGTCCTCTTATGATTGGCTTATTTCACTCATCATAATGTCATCAAGTTCCATTCATATTGCAACATGTATCAAGACTTCATTTCTTTTTCTTTTTTGAACATTTTATTGTGGTTTCAGTGGAAGTTTACAGAACAAATTTGTTTCCCATTCAACAATTTATTTACATTTTGTTTTGTGACATTTGTTGCATTCCTTTCAATGTAATAACACTCTTCCAACTTCCTCCCTGGGTTTCCTGTTTCCATTCATCCATCTTTTCTGCCCCTTCTGAGCTTTGTTTTTGGGCAAATGTTGCCCTTTTCTTTATTTTCCTTGTAGTTACCGTTTCCCTGTACAGGCCTTGCCTGTACATTCCGGTCTCCCTGCCTTTCTCAGTGTGCAGACACTGTTCTTCTGATCTCCCATAGTTGATTGTTCTAAGGAGAGCATCACCCTGGTGTAGGTGTTCAGCTCATTGTTTTGTCCATTGTTTTGACTGAGAGTTAAGCTATGGTTTTGTTCAATTCCAGGTCCAAAGGGTGACTCAGGGCCATAGTCTTAGGGATTTCACCAATCTCTTTCACACCAATAAGTTTAGTCTTTTTTATGATTGTGAGTTTTGTTCCACATTTTTCTTCCACTCTATTCAGGATCTCCTACTTTGATCCTTTTCTGAGTGGTTGACAGTGGTAGCCAGTCACTATCCAGTTCTGGTCTCAGGCTCATATAGGCTGAGTTTCACATAGTCTACTAGTCTTTTGGACTAATGTTTCCATGTGTCTTTGATTTTCTTTATTCTTCTTTATTCTGGACAAGGAGAGAACAATTGTTGCACCTTAGATGGCTGGTCTCAAGCTTTTAAGACCCTAGTTGATACTCACCAAAATAGGATGTAGAACAGTGTTTTTGTGTAGTAGTATGCTATGCCAATTGAGCTTGATGTCCCCCATGACCATAATCCCCCACCCAGAGGCCTGGCCACTCACTCCCTTAAGGTGTTTAGTTTTGGCTAAGAAGTTATCCTAATTTTGCCCCCTGTTAGCTTTAAACTGTATATGGACATTTTTATAGCACATATAAATATGTATGTAGGAATATCATCTGCCAGACCTATGTATAGTATGTTGTTGTTGTTGTTATGTGC